TATTACAACCGCGCCCAAGTAATCCTTCCTAATGGAAAACGCATTTCAGAATTTCAGCCAACTTTCCATGAGACCGGTCACTCACTGTACTTCAATTCCTGCTAATTTTAAAAGAATTCGAAACTCCTATATCCCACTCACTGTACGCATGCAGGGTTGAGTGCAGAAACTAGGGGGATGGAGGGGAGGGGTGACGTTGCCTGATAAATGCGCTTTTGAAGTAAAGGCTAGTGTGGAGAAACGTGGCGGAAAATAACCTTGAGGGGGCTGGCGTATACGGGGCGCATATTTCATCGCCCTTAAATGTTAGACGGAAACCTTATGGAAGGAAGTGCGGTTGGACTCGGGAATAAGGACCCCTTCGTACTTCAGGTGGCTTTGCGCCAAATTCCGGTGGGTGCCTTTTCCTGTGTCCTGACTTTAACCCTACCCGTAACACTCATGCTGACCCCTGGAATTAAACGTTATACGGGAGGGGTTACCTTATTCTCGTGCCTTATCGAAAATGCACTAATGACTTCGGAACATTACGGTAAGTTTAGAGACTGTTACCAATTTTGAAGACCGGTGAACTTCACTGCGCAATTAACCGCAGTTCCTATAGCATCTGCAGTTTTTACAATTGGAGACGAAAAAGTGGGAATAGTAGAAAAATTTCCGTAGGTGCAAGCTAGAATCCGTAGGGTGACTGTCTCGAAAGGAGAGAGCGTTACGGAAAGTCAATTTGGACAAAGCCACGTGGTTTCTCCAGCAGACTCGAACTGTGCTGACACTGAAAAGACTGTATGAAGACAGAGGAGTTCCAAGTTGCTGTCATTTTGTTAAACAAAAACAATCTTACTCAGATGTCCTGTGTACATGCTAAAGACTCCAATCAAGAAGACTACGAATGTAGACACCCTACGGAACTTCCTAAAAAACAGTTCCCTTTTTCGCGCCGGAGCATTTTGATGCCCCGGCTGGCCTGTTCTGGTGGTGAACTGCCAGAGATATCACTGTATTCGCAGTGCGTCCTTACGAAGACTTCTTCGAGGTGTCAAAATATCCACATAGACTGCGAAGCATAACTGAGCCAAATGTTTTTTGCCCATCAAACGAAGCATATGCGGAGTAAAAGATTCACTAGCGTGTTGCGGCACTAACACCCTGACATTTCAAACATAGGTCTTTTCATGGGCACTGGAAAACCCAAAAACTCACCGTGCATGTGTTCTCTACGATCTCGATGTTCAGGAGAACAGAGTCGCTTTGAGTGAGATTGATAGGCCTGTTATCATCGCCCAGCAGAATGACTTCGTTCGTTGGGTCATAGTAACGGCAAGAGATGACTATCTTCTGAGTAGCGACTTCACTGGCTCTCTGAAGAAGAGCCAGCTGGTCTTTTGAGATATAGTAGTTGAGTTCCTAAATAGCAATACAACACGATCTTTTTAGAAAAAATACGATCGTAGAATATGACTACTCAGACAGCCTAGTACACGAGGTGCAGACAAGGAAGGATGGAATGACAGTGCAAATGGTGAAAAGAACCAACTGGAAGACTAACTTACAGCATCGGCTTTCCTGAAAGCAGCTTCCGAATACCAGAAATTGCCCTCCTTGTGGTTAATATGACCATAGGAGACAGCGGGAACATCGGGATCCGCCTCGATGATGGTGGACATAGTAGACATTTGACAGCGTACAGGGAAGGAGTCGCGCCAATGCCCACCGTTCGGGTCTATGTAGTACTCACCTGTAGGCCGAGAAAAGGTAGGGGAAGCCGTGGCTACGGTCTGTATAATCTCAAACTTTCTCAAAGAAAAGGCAGTGGGGAGGAATGTGCGAATCCCATGTTCTTAAAGAGGGATGTGCGATCACTAGAACGGCAACTGTACCAGTCCGAGCCTTCAGACTCGTACGGGAGTCCATCCTCAGGGGCGCGAGAGTGTTACAATAACTAAACAGTTTTATAATCTGGCACAATGAGAGAGGGGGATGGATGCACGTCTCTAACTCGCAGTGGTCTCACAGCGTGGTGACCGTGTGCGTCCTAGACTGGGAACTGGGCCGCGCTATTTTTGCTGCTTGCACGTAATGCGTGGTAAGAGGGAGATATATCAATGTATAGTATTGCCGACAAAGACAAGGGAGACTGGAATGGCCATTCCTGGCTTATTAGCCGTCGTCAGCCAGCCATACCCAACCCCGAAGTGTGGAACACCCGAGGCTCCAACTCGCGACCTATTAGTTCGAAGTCGATGCCTCTAACCACTGAGTCACGAGCCCGTTGCCCTGTCGGTTTCGATCGGGAATATACAATGGTAGGGGGGCGCTCACCGATCGCTCTTACGGGACTCACTCGTTCTGTTGTGCCTTACGGGCTCTCTCTCGAGCCCAACCAGCAGCCGCACAGTGGCGCATGATATTAGCAGAACGGCATTACCGAAACGGAACGAGCGAGTTCCGTAAGAACGATCGGTGAGCGCCCCTACCATTCTATAAAATATTTTTGAATTTATAAGGGTGCCCAAAATCGATGAGAAAAATCCATACAACTTTAGTAGTCATTTGTTGCAATATGCAGCTCTTGCAGGGGGCCAGG